AGTACTTGCTTCATTGCGTTACGGGTAGCCATTATACAGCTGGAATATTGCTGGGTGTGGCGTGTGCCAATAAGAATCATGCTGAAAGTAGGTTAATTGCATCCATGTCCTCATGACGTCCGACCTCGTTAAACCCCCGCTTGGATAATTATCGTTAAAAATTTTGAACTGCAAGATGACAATGCTAGATCACATCGTGATCAGGTCGTCACCGATAATCTCCGACGAGAAGGCATACAGACATTGGTTAACCCGCTAAGTCCCCTGACATGTGCCCAACAGAGCACCTGTGGAATGTTCTCGGGTGGAGAGTGTACGCCGGAGACCCTGCACCCGCCAACGTGGCCCAGCTGGGGTAGCTCTTCAGGCGGAATGGCGGGCAATACCAAGGGCAACCACACAAGTGAGTGAGTATGGTTTTACGCCGCTTTTACGCCGCTTTTAGCAATATTCCAGCAATATCACGGCGGGGGACATCAGAAATGGGCTTCAATCATTGTATCCATGTCGGGAATCGAACCCGGATCTTCGGCGTGACGAGCGAACGCTTTAACCACTAGGCTACCCCACCGCCCCAGGCAACCATACACAGTTAATTTAAAGTATGCCGAGCATCTATGTTGGACACACCAGATATTGATCTGCATGCCTGAAATTGATTTCACAGACATTTATCGTCGTTACACCTTCACTATCATTTCATCAGGTCCCCTATTTCTGTCGGTAGTATATATATTTAGGCAACTACAATGAACATGTAGCTCGAAAATTCAGTTCGTTTGTTTGTGTCTTTTATGTTTAACGCCGCACTCACCAATATTCCAGCTATATGACGGCGGTCTGTAAAAAATCGAGTCTGGACCAGACAATCCAGTGATCATGAGCATCGATCCACGCAATTGGAATACAATGACATGCATCAACCAAGTCAGCAAGCCTGACCACCCGATCCCGTTAGTCGCCTCTTACGGCAAGCATGGGTTGCTGAAGACCTATTCTACCCCGGATCTTCACGGGTCTCTCGCCGATTCAGCAAGTGATCAAGTCATGTCCTGCTTGTTCCGTCCATGTTGCAGCCCTTCACTTTCTCTTCAGGGCGACGAGTGGACGCTTTAACCACTAGGCGAACTTCGTTTGAGCAACATGTAGACATTGTATTTATGCTAATAAAATAAAGAAATATCGGTTCAGGTCCTCGCTGTCTCAACAAATATACAAACACAAACGTGAAAACATAAACCGATAACACCAAGGATACCGGGCCCTACCAAACATGTGAGGTGAGGTGAGGTGAAATTGGGTTTAACGTCGCGTCCAAGATTATTGCACTTATATAGCGACGTGCATGTACGTGTGTGTTTGTGTGGCTGCTTGTACTAGTCCGGACTGATGCCGATTTATAGTGCTAGCTCACTGAGATACCATGCCGCAGTTTAACATGAATATCCCACTCAGACACAGTATACTGACTCCGAGCCGACCAGTCCTTGTTTTAGCCCCTTAATGCCGAGCGCCAGACAGGGTAACAACAAGTACCATCTTTTAACTTCTTTTGGTATAACGCGGCCGGGGATCGAACCCCGGACCTTCCGCTCTCCGGGCGGACGCTCTACCACTAGACCACGGAGGCGGTCCCCAAACATGTAGAGAGTCAATGAATAGTGTTGTGTGTTACGTGTATCCTAGCAGAATTCATTTGAACACTGATAAGTAATTAGTTAAAGTACTTATATACAGGGCACCAAAGACATCGGACACATATTTCACCTGTGCGTCCACGCCCGGGTATGTGAAAGGACACAATGTACGCGGAAATGTTATAGGGATTTGCACTCTGTTAGATTAAGCAATGTTCCAGCAATATCACGGCGGAGAAAAACAGAACATATATACTACCTATATTGAATTATAGGTTCGATTCGGGGTGCGGGTGGCCCAGTCGTCTATTGCGCCGTGATTCGCTGTGCGTCCCTTGGGCACGCCAGAAACCTATGATTGTGGGTTCGAATCCCGGTTCGCCCCAATTATTTTTCTAGGTTTGTCAGCACCATACCCGTGGTCGTGGGTTTCATCGAAGTGGTAAACGTCTGTGACTTCGGGCGTCACGCCGTGATATAACTGGAATACTGTTAAAAGCGTCGTTATATGACCGCTCTCCCGTGACATTACTTGAATATAATAGGTACAGTGTGTGGAGCTTATGACCGCTCTCCCGTGACATTACTTGAATATAATAGGTACAGTGTGTGGAGCTTATGACTGCTCTCCCGTGACATTACTTGAATATAATAGGTACAGTGTGGGGAGCTTATGACTGCTCTCCCGAGACATTACTTGAATATAATAGGTGCAGTGTGGGGAGCTTATGACTGCTATCCCTTGACCTTACTTGAATATAATAGGTACAGTGTGTGGAGCTTATGACTGCTCTCCCGTGACATTACTTGAATGTAATGGGTACAGTGTGGGGAGCTTATGACTTCTCTCCCGTGACATTACTGGAATATAATAGGTACAGTGTGTGGAGCTTATGACTGCTCTCCCGTGACATTACTTGAATGTAATGGGTACAGTGTGGGGAGCTTATGACTTCTCTCCCGTGACATTACTGGAATATAATAGGTACAGTGTGGGGAGCTTATGACTGCTTTCCCGTGACATTACTGGAATGTAATAGGTACAGTGCTGGGAGCTTATGACTGCTCTCCCGTGACATTATTTGGATATGTAATAGGTACAGTTAGGGGAGCTTAAAACTGCTCTCCCGTGACATTACTGGAATATAATAGGTGCAGTGTGTGGAGCTTATGACTGCTTTCCCCGTGATATTACTTAAATATAATAGGTGCAGTGTGTGGAGCTTATGACTGCTCTCCCGTGACGTTACTTGAATATAATAGGTACTGTTTGGGGAGCTTATGACTGCTCTCCCGTGACATTACTTGAATATAATAGATGCAGTGTGTGGAGCTTATGACTGCTCTTCCGTGACATTACTTAAATATAATAGGTACAGTGTGGGGAGCTTATGACTGCTCTCCCGTGACGTTACTTGAATGTTGCTAAAATCTCTTTCTCATGTTCCGTTGTAAAATTGTTGTTCTACACCGGTCTTTAACAACAGGACAACACGTACAATGAGCAATGGTTTACTGGGAAACATGATATACATACACATTTTCAGTGCCACAACCGGTATCACTTACCATGCATACACAACCACAGCGTTCACAACACAAAGGCATTTAAACTGTTTTATATCGATATGTAGAAACAGATAAAAATTAATAGTCGACGCTAATGTTGGCGTGTCTTGAAAAAAATACCGCCTTTTCTGAACGATATATTTCATTTTCGAAGTCAAAGAAAACAGTACAAGAGAAAATCGAAACAGCTTGCCGCGAATAAGTACATACGATTCTATAAATAATATCTAACAAATTGACCTTTTAGCAAAAAACACATATAATAGAACAACCCCTGTATTCATTTCGTCTTGTGAACAACCGTATTCTCTTGTAACGTTGTATTGGGTTTATGCATCCATCGACACGAGGCCGTAGTGTACAGTATAAGTGAGTATGGTTTTACGCCGCTATTAACACGACGGGTGACCCCACAAATGGGTTCCACACATTGTACCCATGTGGGGAATCGAACCCGGGTTTTCGGCGTGACGAGCGAACGCTTTAACCACAAGGATACCCGACTGCCCCTGTGTACAGTATGACATACAAGGGGTTTTTTTGTTTTGTTTTTTTGTTGTTTAACGCCGCACTCAGAAATATTCCAGCTATATGACGGAGGTCTGTAAATAATCGAGTCTGAACCAGACAATCCAGTGATTGAGATCAAGAGCATCGATCCACGCAAATGGAATACCATGACATGCATCAACCTAGTCAGCGAGCTTGACCACCCGATCCCGCTAGTCACCTTTTACGACAAGTATAGTCGCCTTTTACGGCAAGCATGGACATACAGGGACAAAAGCAAATGGACTGATCATTAGATACTCATGTTTGAGGCAGGATACAAAACGTTAAGTTATTTTCTCTAACAGGAGCCGAATTATTTATATTTTGTACAACACATTCGGCAGGTCGGACAAAGCAAATATATATTTGTCAGTATTAACTGGAACATAACTGTCGCTAACGCTACCGTATACACTGAGCTTACCCGACAACGCCTAACGCTTCATTAACAACCAACATTCCTATGACTATGAATGTTGCTTTGGCTCTACCGACTATATTCCAATGAAAATGTTTGATATCTAATAATATATACACGTATAAACATTGCACAATAACATATTTGAGACAACTTCAGATATGAATGAATATTTGGTCAGTACTACTGAAATACAAAAATAGCAATACGGAAAGCACGAGTCACAGCTCTTGTGTGCGATGTATTGACAGCAAATAGCTTCGACATGTAACAGTTATAAGCAAAACATTTCTACGTTATCTTTTTCTTGATCAGGAGCTCAGATTTGTAGAGCCATCTCCTTTCAAACAGAACACCCAGAATAAATGAGAGAAGACGGGTGTATCTGTGGGCGAGCTGTCAAACAGCCAAAACGTCATCCTGACATGTGTTGTCTCACTCTCTGTTTCTTGTTAAAAGCCGCACCTGCCAACGTGGCCCAGCTTGTGGTAGATCTTCAGGCGGAATGGCGGGCAATGCCAAGGGCAACCATACAAAGTTAATCTGTATTACAGCTTTAATGGACAGAATTATCATTAAACCGCCCGCATGTTATCAGAAATGAGCGGGCCACTGAACTTGATAATGCCCTCATATTGTTTGACGACAGGCCCGTTGTCAGTTGACGTCATATTGATGTTCAATAGTGACGTCATCTAGTTTGTTCTATGACGTTTCCATTTTTGTAAAAGTGGGTCTGTGACATTCGTTGTGTGTTGATTGCAGTAAATGTTTCAAAAACCGATATTGTTGTTTCTTTTATTTGATAACAAATTCTATCCACTATAGATATATTAACGGTAACGCTATTTTTCAGGGCATTATAATTTGCCGAAGCCCTCGGTCTTTTCAACTGCCCTCGGGCTTCTGCAAATGATAAATGCCCTGAAAAATAGCGTTACCCCTATAGTGTGCCATCAAGGTGTCGTGCATTTATGGTGGACACACCAGATATTGATCTGCATGCCCGACATTGATTTCAGAGACATTTATCGTCATTACACTGTCATTTCATCAGGTCCCCTATTTCTGTCGGTAGTATATATATTTAGGCAACTAGTAGGAACATGTAGCGTGAAGATTCAGTTCGTTTGTTTCTTTGATGTTTAACGCCGCACTCAGCAATAATCCAGCTATGTGATTGCGGTCTGTAAATCATCGAGTCTGGACCAGGCAATCCAGTGATTGACACCAAGAGCATCTATCCACGCAAATCAAATGCAAGGATACTGTTATATGTGTCACGTGGTTTAGAACAACAAGACTCACAATCTCACTTTGTCCCTTGATCTAAAGCCTACAAGATACATGAGGCAAAAGTTGGCTTCGTAAATGTGTTAAATCTTCATGATTATTATACACTACCGAGCAAAAGAAAGCATGCACCCATGTTTGATGGTGGCTAAAAAATGAAACAAATAAGAAATGGTTATTTGTGGTGATGTATTTGATGCGGGTATCACAGTTGTTTTGGACCTTTAGTTGTGTTAGCTTAGTAACGTTTTGATAACGTTTGTAGTGTTTTGGTCAAATCAACGGTTCAAGTGCATGCTTTCATGCCGTCAGTTTAGTATTGCGTCCGACAAAATGTGTTTGATCACAGTTACTTTTGCCCTTGAGTATATACACAATGTTCAGACAATATTAACTTGTGTATTATTGGTTGGACCATACACATCTCAAAGGTAGCAAATCTTCAGGTCCAGTGGAGGCCTTCCATTCATCATGGAACAGTCCGTGTAAGGAAGCAGTGCAAGAGGCATTACTCCGCTACTCACGAACACCATCAATAATACTCGTCAATAAATGCACATTGTTGACAAACAACCTGTCAATAAATGCACATTGTTGACAAGCAACCCGTCAATAAATGCACATTGTTGACGAACAACCTGTCAATAAATGCACATTGTTGACAAGCAGCCAGTCAATAAATACACATTGTTGACAAGCAACCTGTCAATAAATGCACATTGTTGACAAGCAACCCGTCAATAAATGCACATTGTTGACAAACAACCTGTCAATAAATGCACATCGTTGACAAGCAGCCAGTCAATAAATAGACATTGTTGACAAGCAACCCGACTGTTAATACACATTGTTGACAAGCAACCCCTCTGAAAAAGCACATTGTTGACAAGCAACCCGTTTGTAAATACACAGTGTTGACAAGCAGCCTGTCAATAAATACACATTGTTGACAAGCAACCCGACTGTTAATACACATTGTTGACAAGCAACCCCTCTGAAAAAGCACATTGTTGACAAGCAACCCGTTTTTTAAATACACAGTGTTGACAAGCAGCCTGTCAATAAATACACATTGTTGACAAGCAACCCGACTGTTAATACACATTGTTGACAAGCAACCCCTCTGAAAAAGCACATTGTTGACAAGCAACCCGTCAATAAATGCACATTGTTGACAAACAACCCGTCTGTAAATGCACATTGTTGACGAACAAGTATCAGAAGATGCTGAGAGGCAGCAGGTAGAGGGTTCACTCTGACAAGCAATTCTTTTCTTGATCGGCAGGCTCTTAATGTATGTGTGTCCCGCCACATCAACAAGTCCAGGTTATCGCGATGTTAATATAGCCTTAAACTCTGAAATGGAAAACAACACTTCTGTGAATGATTGTGCTGTGGTAACTAGTATAGACTAGTATAGTCTGCCCGCCGGACCCTGACTGACGTAACCTAAGGCGAGGTCAAATCGGGTTTGACGACACGTACAACATTTTTGCACTTATATGGTGACATCCATGCACGTGTGTTTGTGTGTGTGTGTGTGTGTACGTGCGTGCGTGCGTGTGTGTGTGTTGGTGTGTGTGTGCGTGTGTGTGTGTGTGTGCGTGCGTGCGTGTGCGTGTGTGTGTGCGTGCGTGCGTGTGTGTGTGAGAGAGAGAGAGAGAGAGAGAGAGTTAGGGGTGTGTGTGTGAACGCTGAGGTGAAGTCAAATATTACAAGATTATTGCACAAGATAATTGTCCTAATATGGCGACATGAATCCACCTGGTGTATGCATGTGTGTTTGTGTGTGCGTGCATGCGTGCGTGTGTGCGTATGTGCGCGTGTGTGGTGAGACACCAAGCCGCAGTTTAACAACGACACGCCACTCAGGCACAGTCTACAGACCCCCAGCCCCTCCATGATCCTTGCCTTGCCCATGATATGACGCGGCCAGGGATCGACCCACCGACCTTCTCCTCTCCGGACACACCCTCTACCCATCAGATCACGGAGGCGGTCACAGGGAGAAGGAAATGGGAGCAAAAACTAATCTGCCTGTATTACCAGTCTATTAGCGGTGTTCTAGTGCGAACGATAATTTGAAACGGATATGGCATTGTAACACGAAGCAGACAGTGAGAAAGTCGAGACTGATTGCGCCGCGGAAATATTCAGGCTGCGCAGCGGTCTGGCTAGAGTCGGGGTGACATCATGAGTGACGACCCATGTTGTCATGACACGGTGATTCATATTCAACAAGGTCACACCTGGTGACAACCCGACCCTCATAAACAGACCCGGGAAGTCGTGCGACGGATATTGGATACTGGGAGAGCATTCATCCCCGGAATGGAAGGAGAGTCATCACCTGGTATATACGCGCTCTCTCTAGGCATGGCAGAACACATTTTAGCCATATTTACCAAACTTCTACTGGGCTGAGCATAAGCGGATCCAGAGGGGTGTGTGTGGGGGTGGGGTGGGGGGTGGGGATGGGGGGTGGGGGTGTCCAGGGGGTCAGGACCCCCACCTCCTTTTGAAAACCAAATATAGTATGAACACACAATGCCACTTAGAAAGTTGGTTGGTTGGTTTGTTGTTTAACGCCGCACTTAGCAATATTCCAGCTATATGAGGGCAGTCTGTACCCGACAATCCAGTGATTAATATCATTAGCATCGATCCACGCAATTGGGATCGATGACCTGCATCAACCAAGTCAGCGAGCCTGACCACCCGATCACGTTAGTCGATTTTTACGACAAGCATGGACGCCTTTTACGGCAAGCATGGGTTGCTGAAGACCAATTCTACCCCGGAATCTTCACGGGTCCACTTAGAAAGTGGTCAAATGTAATGTTATATTTGGGATAACACTTTCTTAGTACAGAAGGGTACACAAAGTACGTGATCTAGACTACCAGTTGTCGGACATTAATTTTTGTGGTAGCCTCGGTGGCTGAGTGGGTTTAGATCGCTGACAATAAGGTGCCTCACTCTGGCAATTATGGGTTCGAATCCCGGTCGGGACTCAACACTAAAAACTACGAGAATCTGAACTTTACTGAGAAAGTGTTATCCAAATGTAATATGTTGTACATAGTAAATTGACTGAGAGAAGGTTTCGATATTTCTGACCCCTTCCTTTAAAAGTCCTGGATCCACCCTTGCTGAAGTGGCCCAGTTGTCTGAGGCGCAGCAAGTGGCTGCGCAGAGGAGGGTGTACCGGGATCCTACGATCGTGTGTTCGAATCTTACCATGACCATTGGCGCGTCGGCTGTATACTCAAAGTGGTAAATGTCTAAGACCTGCATCACTTAGGGCTTCCCTAACATCAAGCTGACACGCCGTGACATAACTGGAATACTGGTTAAACACCCATACTCAGCGTGTCACCTAACACTGTGATGATAAACTCACCAGAGTAGTCTACCTTTCCGTCCTTGTTGAGGTCAGCCTCCCTCACCATCTCCTCCGCTTCTCTCTGGAAGTAATTCAAACTTAAGAGATTAGGAAACTCTTCGCGAGCATCGCTGTTTTGTTGGCTTTTTTTTTAACGCCACACTAGCAATATTCCAGCTGTATGATGGCAATCTGTATAGATATAATAATAATAATAGAGTCTGGACCAGACAATTCAGTGGTTGACATCATGAGCATCGATCTACGCAATAAGGGTACGATAACATGCATCAACCAAGTCAGCGAGCCTGACCACCCGATCCCGTTAGTCGCCTCTTACGACAAGCAAGGGAGCCTGACCAGCCGATCCCGTTAGTCGCCTCTTACGACAAGCAAGGGAGCCTGACCAGCCGATCCCGTTAGTCGCCTCTTACGACAAGCATTGGTTGCTGAAGACCAATTCTAAGTCGGATCTTCACGGGAATTGCAAGCATCGGCGCTTTACTTCAAATCCTGGGCGTCAGTCAGTTTAATTGTCAACAAAAATAGATTTCATGTGAGGCAGACTCTGTTATTCATGTTTGACAAGAGACATTGTATTAAGGGGCTGAGTTCAATGTGTGCCCAGGGGGGGTGTTGGTATAAAGCGTGTCCCTACCTCCTCAGTTATGTTTTCAATAACAAAACAAAAAAGAAAAAAGAAACATTTTTGGTGCAGCCTTATATGTGTTGAATACGTGCTGTCACCACTCGTCCCTTTCCGTTACGTGCAATAATATTCTTCCCCCTATCGACCAACGTTTGCTGATGCGGCGTTAAGTAAAGGTATACTCACTCGCTCACTCACTCACTCACTCACTCGATAGCTCGCACGCTCGCACCCACTCACCTACTCACTCGACAAAGCAATCTGAATACGCGTATGTCTCTATAATTGGTCACAATTATAGCTTTTGTTTAGGGTGATATTCTGTATCTTAAAACATTCCAACATGCATGACAGTCACAATTAAGGTCTTTTACTGAATATGATCAAAAGGTATGACAACTGTGATATTTAGAAAATATGTATGAACGCACACAACGATGCATGTGGTACACTATGTATAATTTTAATTTTCTTTCATGTGTTTAAGTTAAGACGGAACCCAGTTGTTAAATCGCAATTCCATAAGGCGCTACTCGGTTTATCCCGGAAACACACGAATTGTCACGGTCAATTTGTGACAACATTAATTGAATCGTCCATAAAATCAAAGACACGTTTACTGTTATGGGACAGAGAGGTAGCAAAGCCTCTAGAGTTATTTCCCTTGCATTGAAAATCGAAACGTGATTTTATGGCTCGGCAAGCACATGCCAATTAAGTGAGTGAGTGAGTGAGTGAGTATGGTTTTACGCCGCTTTTAGCAATATCCCGGCAATATCACGATGGGGGGAACCACAAATGGGCTTCACACATTGTACCCATGTCGGGAATCGAACCGGGTCTTCGACGTGGCGAGCGAACGCTTTAACCACTAGGCAACCCGACCGCCCCTACATGCCAATTAAAACTATAAACTGGTTATTATAACCATACTGCTTGTAACTACCAAGAACTACACGAAGTACTTTTAATTTAAAAATAAACCCAACACGTTTATGTTCAATATTTGTTCAACAATTTAAGCTCAGTGCCAGGACATCGTACAAGTCCCGCCTCATTGGAATGTAACAGTCAGTGCATCAGACAGAGGGACGATGAAGACGTATCAGTGTTTATGCTAACGTTGAAATACGGGGTTTAGTTTAGACATCATCATTCAATACTTATGGACATGTCTTATGTTTAATTTTCTTTCAATAGAAAATATACAAATATGACAAGAATGATATTGCAAACTATCTATACAAAAGTCATTTGAAATACATCTTATTTGTTGCGACTTCTTCTGTGGTAATTACAGTTAAATCACTTGCGAATTTCTATAAATCGTTATTTTACTTATTCTTTCTTTATTCGCATCCACATTTCACTATCTAAATTCATCAATCCATCTTCCCGAGGCAAGTTTCCACCCTTGCCGAACTAGACTGAATTTCTGGGCTCGATCGTAGCGCGATCAGTGGCTATTGTCCCTTCTATGCCCTTCTTTTTGACCAATCAGATTCCATCTCTTATATCATTTGCATTTGCTTTAGACAAAATGGCGGCGCCAAGTCAAGACGATCTGAACGATGATCAAGATATACATTGTTATAAAACGGGTCTTACCACGCAAAGTGCATCAAATCACGTGAGCACCTTGATTAAAAACGTGAAAAGATTTGGAAAATATATATCATCGCACAGTTGACGGTACACATCAACTGCAAACCCTGCAGTCGACCGAAATCCTCACGTTGAAATCGATGTTGTTCACGAACCGGATGTTGATTTCGTTACTCGATTTTGATTGGACTATGCATAGACTCGTTAGTCCGGCCAAAATGTAACTCCATAATTGCAGCCTAATTGGGCTGGGGTGGAAACTGGAATTTTACAATCAGTTAACTCACATGCCTCGGGAATATGCATCAAATCCAAATCCAAACACAAAAGGGGGCACGGGTGGCCCAGTCGTCTAAAGCGCCGCGATTCGCTGTGCAGAGTTGAGTCCCCTGGACACGCCAGAAACCTATGAATGTGGGTTCGAATCCCGGTTCACCCTGATTATGTTTCTAGGTTTGTCAGCACCATACCCGTGCTCGTAGGTTTCACCGAAGTGGTAAATGTCTGAGACCTGCATCACTTCGGGCTTTCCTCCCACATTAAGCTGACACGCCGTGATATAACTGGAATACTGTTAAAAGCGGCGTTAAACCCAACTCACTCACTCACTCACCCAAACACAAAAAAGGGCAAGCTGTGATGTAGGTTGTTGGGTGAGAGGGATAATGTTATGGCTATCAACAAACGGGTAGTCAGGCTCAGGTACACGTTGTTCACAATATCAACCACTGGTCTGCCCGGTCTAGGCGCTATTAGTGAGTGAGTATGGTTTTACACCGCTTTTAGCAATATTTCAGCTTCACACATTGTACCCAAGTGGGGAATCCAACCTGGGTATTCGGCGTGACGAGCGAACTCTTTAACCACTAGGCTACCCCACAGCCCCTAGGCGCATTCGTGACCAACTCGTGTTATTCCGGGACAAGCCGAATAGCGACTTGTGCCCCTCTCGTGGCCATTTTTGAAACCGGGTTCCGTCTTAGCGCAAACGGGCATACCTAAAACAATTGTCAAGTCGTTGCGTAATGGTTCACACATTTTCCAAAGATTTCCCACATTATTTCAGATGCAGTTTAAAGCACATCGGGACGTGCGGCATTATATAGTATGATTGAACACATTTAACTGTGTCTTTGGTATATTTTTAGATGCAAGACATATGTAAATTCAAAAATTATTTCTGAGGGATTCTTTGACGAAGAACTTGAAATCATACGCGCATTCTGATTGGTTTGTCGTATTTTCGCATATAACATTCATCGATAGGGGGACGAGTCTTCTTGCAGGTTACGGAAAGGGGCGAGTGGTGCCGAATGCCCCTAGGCGGTATCATCTATAGGCCCCCGTGATGCAGCTGGAATACCGGCGAGTGCCGAGCGCTGAACACCAACAGTATTCCCTTCAATGAACAATAGAGATATAACGTTGGACATGCACCACTTGATGGTTGTCACGGGGATCCAACCTGCTACCGTCCATTTCTACCTGCTTTTGCCTCAGCGGTTGCAATGTCAAGGTCACTTACCCGACTGATCTTCTCTCCTAATTTAGAGAGTATCTCGAACAGGTCGGTAGGGGAGATAAATCCATCTTTATCCTTGTCAAAAACGCGGAATACTTCACGGAGTTCTTTCTCGGGGTCCATCGTCACTTTCCGGGCAAAGATGTCGAGAAACTCATCAAAATCTATAGACCCGCTTTCTGCAAAACGTTATAGAAATATAATTATTCATGAAACACGTTCAGCCATCAAAGAAGTTATTTTTAACGCATTTGATTGAATGTGTAATACGATCTGCTTGATGTGGGAGAGCAATCTGACATCAATGTAATTTTCTAAGGAAATCTGAGAAAAAAGTCCTGGTAATAATCTCGAAAATTTTAAAATCCTGAACGAAAATTAAGTATTGAGCACTAAGTGTCCTCGTCATTGACTTGATGCATGTTCAAGTGTTAAATTGATGTCAACACAGATGGGCCATTACGTGTTTCTGTATCTAATGGACCAAATCTTCAGTTTCATGATATCCTATACCTACGTCTGGAGCTGCAGATCGTGTAGTAACGAACATAGCCGTAATAGCGAACTGCACCGTGCTCATTTTTTCAAAAGTAAAATTCAAATTCGATTGGCTCATCTGACCTTCAGTTTGGAGTTACGTGTCTTCAGATGGTTTCTCCCTCTGGACATGTAGGTTTATGCGAGAAGGGAGTCATGTTTCACAGATACTATTTTAACGTCTTATAACTAAGAGGATGGAAACAGTCTTCTTAATGACAGAGATATCCATTTGTCTTATCAATACACGTTTTGATATTCATTCATACATGTGAACAAAGGTTTAATCGGCATTACACCAGATAGGAGGAAGTTGTCACACGGGCTGGTGTTGACGTACATGCATTGTGTCATTCACTGCGAGAAGGCAAAGACACATTAGGTGTGTGTGGTTTCTGGACAACCAATCCCAAAAATATGTTTTCATATGTTGTTTCAAGCCGAGTCCTACTCATTTCAATAATAAGATAAAACCTTCACAATAGCTCCAAATGGGAATAAATGTAATCAAGTATATCAAGTTTCAAACTTATATCTTTTACTGAAATTATTTCATCAGAAAACTTTGATGTTGTATATAACACATGTTTATATATATATAAAGTCCAACGGCTAAGGGAAACTTAAATCGACTACTTCCTTGGCATGCGTAGTTCATGCAATCAACCATTGTCTGAATTATGGGCCTATGGCCTTCTTACTGAACAAACTGTCTGTCTGTCTGTAATATAGTTTAGTTTCCTTGATTCCACATATATCAAAACTACAGAAGAGGAAAGGTTCTATTGAATAAAAAAAATATTATTATTTTACAGAAATGTTTTCATTGACTTAGTGTTAGTCTAATAATCATATTAGGTTAATGGAAACATTCATCTTAGTTTAAATGGACAGTCCTCATGTCTGAAGGTACTAATATTTAATTTAAAGTTCATTTCGACCACCACTCTATGTTTTATTTAAACATTAAACACGGCATTGGTTCTCTTCAACCAGTGCAAGTCCATTAATCAAGTTATTGTTGCCCGGCATGTGTTGGTCGTAAGAGGCTGCTAAATGGCCCCTGGAATGTACTAGAGTTCTGTGTTAAACATCCAACAGACAAAGGAAGGAGAAGAGATGTGTGTCCTTACTGTCGGTGTCCACGGCCCTGATGAAGCCACGGATCTCCTGTATAGTGGGTCTCTGCCCCAGGGAGATCATCACGCTGCCGAGCTCGTCTGTCGTGATCATGCCGTCTCCATTCTTGTCGAACATCTTGAATGTGTCATTCAACTCTGAAAACAGAAGTCGCGTACAGGTACACCAGGGTACGTATTCGTGTTTTATTCTCCCCAAAGTTTATCTGACAAAATAAAAATCCGTAAAAACAAAAGAAAATTCATATCACGCATGATATTCACATTTACTAACACTTTCATGATTACCCATTTTGACCTGAAATTGCACGTGTATAAAATCCCATGATTAAGAAATAGCTACACATTCCCAGTGCACGAGGGACCGAGTCAATTCAAACAGTTAATGAAGTGTTTTAAACTGTGTAAAGCAACATTGTTGACGCCAAACCTCTCAAATGTTTTGCCACACGCGGTTGCATGCTGTTGGAATGCTCCAACCAGGAATTGCACCAAACATTGTTGCTAGGCACCATACAGTCACGCTGTGGTGGGTACCGACAGAATGGCAACACCGGGAACCGACCACGTCCTGGACGTCAGCGAATAAGATAATCATACCCGCCTGGTTCCTCTGCGAGAGCGGTTTCAGATTGCAACTTTGACATGCGCAGTGTAACTGGCTTGACAATAATAATGTCCGATGCAATTCCCTATTTTGACTTGTACCATTTTTTTCAGGTACACAATTGACTTGCCTTTGTCTGTGTTTGTGGCGAGAGCCACCCATGTGGCAGGATAACTCACCTTTTCGCGAACATCTGGTATCATTACTAATTGATAGTGAGTCATAAACACATGCTCATGATATAGTCGGAATCGTACAATCGACTCTGCTTTTGGCAGAGATTTGTATTGAATATGGAAAGGATTTTGTCGCTTTCATTTACGTCCGATAAGTGCAAGGAAGAGATTACGACAGCATAACATCCGACCACGACGTCAAGCTGTACGTCCACGTGTTCTGCCATGTCATCGAACTGATTAAGAGGCGCCTGAGGTTCAGATGCTGGAGGTTAATCCTCTTAGCAGATGAGCCCAGGTTTCATCTTGAGAGTAGAGATGGACGTCAGCGTGTTTGTTGACGTCGGGTGGAACGTTACACTGACGCGTGTGTTGTTCAACGTTCTGTAATCGGTGGTGGCAGCGTAATGATGTGGGGTGTCATCACTGTTCATCACAGGACCCCTCTAGTGGTCATCGGTGGCATTGTGACAGGTGTACGGTACCGTGACCAAGTTATCCGTCCTCACATCACTTTACAGCAGGACAATGTCACCTGACGTTACACGTGAGGGTCACAAACTTCATTGAACAACAGAACATTCCAACACATTGGCCTGCTGTATCGCCAGATCTGGCGCTCATCGAACGTATGTGGGATGGCATAAGACGTCGCTTTTGCCGACTTCCAAACCAACAGTTGACTTTGGACCAGCTCCCACAGGCCTTCCTCAACCATCTTGTGTCGTCAATACACACATACAAACATACATAGAAACATACACACACACACGCACACACACGCACGCACGCACGCACACACACACACATACACACGCATACACGCAAACATACACACATACAAACACACACGCACACGCACACGCACACGCAAACGCACACACAAACACATAACGTTGCACTCTGCTGTCGTTTGTTTTGAAACAATCTTGTTATATAGCTTCCTAGTGTTTAAACTGACGCCAGGATGAATACCATGACAATCTAGCGCGTGCTGTTGCGTGTGCATGTGCGTGTTTATGCTACCGATTGTCTCTCTAATCAATCAGTCTCCTTCGGTGTACTTTATATGCTGGGCAAGTAATCAACATTCACAACGTGTACCGCACGCTATACTACTTCACAGGGAAGAATACCGTCTCGACCTGAGAAAACTTTAGATAAAACTGCAATTCCGTAGGCACTTTAACCAACTGCACTTGGCGAAGAGCGTGTCAGCAATTATTTATACACAGCCCGAGAGATATTTTGGTTCGTTTATCCGACTTCACCAAACACAGAATAGAAAATAGATATGTTTACATTTGAGTTAATTTAATTCTGTCAGGCCTCTCACTATTTCGGACAGCTGTAAGTGGTTCGTGACGCTGCTGCTCGTCTGGCTTGTTTACAAGGTTTATAAGGGAACATGTATCTAAACACCAAGTTAGTGAGGAGGGTGTGCTGCTGCGTTCAAGAGCATTTCAGTTACATCAGCGACTGACAACCTTGTATTGGAGGAAAGCCACAAAAAAGTAAAGTGCGAAATCGGGTCCCCCGGAAGCGCTCGTCAAATCATCATCATCATCATCATCATCATCATCATCATCAACATCATCATCATCATCATCATCATCATCATCATCATCGTTCGCTCGTCACGCCGAAGACCCGGGTTCGAATCCCGACATGGGTGCAATGTGTGAAGCCCATTTCTGATGTCCCCCGCCGTGATATTGCTGGAATATTGCTAAAAGCGGCGTAAAACCAAACTCACTCACTCACTCACTCATCATCATCATCATCTTGACGGAAGTTATAGAATCTGCCACTTTCGGTAAACTCACGAGCGCCGGTATGATTCTGACAAACAAAGGATCACAACCTGCGCGAACCTGGGCTTGAACCTACGGTCATTGGATCCTGCGTAGTCTAAGGGGCGCAACTTCTCACAACGAATTGCCGCGTTTAAGACAACTAGCTGATTGCGTGACCAGTGCCGCGATCACATATGTGTTGTGTGCCCTAGGCTGATTATTGACAGTGCTCTTTTTATTATATATATAAACATAATTTAACAACTGTATTTTATGTAAAATATGCTCATTTCAGAGACTAGATGTTAGTCTTGGGAAAACCTACTGACAATGGTTACTAGGACATAACAACTTCTCATAAACAATTGAAGATCTTATGAATGTGACATGTAGAGAATACCCAGGGCTAATTTCCATATTTCCTAATGTCCAAATGTTGATATGTACCTCCCCGAGAGTCCATGATCTGTCCGAAATCGCCACACAGATAATGGCCTGAGGAACGTAACTTGCAAGATATGGTAATTGTTTGGTATAGTCTATTTATCCCTGATTTCAATGCTGACTTGCAAAACAACTATTGATTATATATTTCGAACTTAAACCGTCTACATCAAGCGATGGACATACAACTGTGTACATCACGGGCAGATATGGCGATATAATTGAATGTCTTGAAGCTCTGGAGCGGCATTCAGCGCAGATGTCCAATGCTGCATCCCACTCCTTCAAAGCAGCATGGAAATAGTTCTCATATCAGAGGTGAGGTGAGGTGAGGTGAGGTGAGGTGAGGTGAGGTGAGGTGAGGTGAAATTGGGTTCAACGTCGCGTCCAAGATTATTGCACTTATATAGCGACGTGCATGCACGTGTATGCGTGTGTGTGTGTGTGTGTGTGTGTGTGGCTGCTTGTACTAGTCCGGACTGATGCCGATTTATAGTGCTAGCTCACTGAGATACCATGCCGCAGTTTAACATGAATATCCCACTCAGACACAGTATACTGGCTCCGAGCCGACCAGTCCTTGTTTTAGCCCCTTAATGCCGAGCGCCGGACAGGGTAACAACAAGTACAATATTTTAACGTCTTTTTGTATGACGCGGCCTCTCATATCAGAAGGAATGTGGGTCAAACATTATAACCAGAAGGCGAGAACAAGGAAGAAGGAGATTAAAACAACCAAATTATGTGGGATGAAAGCATCCACATGCCATCACGTACAATTTGGCTATTCAAGTTAAAATCCTACAGATTCTCTATCCGCTTCTCACGCTTTGGAGTGAGTTAGTGAGTATTGTTTTACGCCGCTTTTTGCAATATTCCAGCAATATCACGGCGGGGGACACCATAAATTGGCTTCACACATTGTACCCATGTCGGGAATCGAACCCGGGTCTTCGGCGTGACGAGCGATCGCTTTAAGCACTAGGCTACCCGACCGCCCCTCACGCTTTGGAAGCACTGACCCTTGGCCCATGTCAAACTGGGTCCAGCCTGAACTGCCTATCTACAGTGCGTGTTAGACAGGCCAAGTATTACACATCCGCTAATGTAATTATCTAAGTCACTCAAACACTGCACTGCATCAATGAACCAACCCAGCAACGTGGAATGCGAGTCTTCATGCATTACATGTGCGGAATTAGCGGAAGGCCTGCGATTAGCGTATGATAACACACTGTCGATAAGTGCTCCTGTGAAGAAGGATGAGATGCGGGGAGGTGAAATGGGGTTTAACGTCGCGGTCAAGATTATTGCACGAGCGTGTGCGTGCGTGCGCGCGCGCGCGCGTGTGTGTATTAGCCGGGACAAATGTCGGTATCATAGCGCAAGCCCATTGAGATATATGGCGCAGTTTAACATGGAGACCCCATTCAGACACATCTTAACTCTAAGCCTTGTTTTAGCCCCTTAATGCGGAGTGGCAGGCAGGGTAACAACAACTCCCAGCTTTAACGGCTTTCGGTAAAGCGCGGCCTGAGATCGAACCACCGACCTTCCACTCTGCAAACAGACGATCTTGAAATCTTTCACAGAGTTGACGCAATACTGCGACTGGTCACAGAGAAGATCCGGGTTCGATTCCTCACATGGGTCAAATTATGTTCATTTTCTCTTTGAAATGCTTCATTTCATGGGAAATCATTTCCTATGGAACAATCGGTAACGTTTCAAATGCACTGATTGGTTCCGAAGTACATACTTCACGTGTCATATAACGAATACATGACGTCATCGCCCTACCTTGAATCTTCTCATCGGAAAAGATGTGCTTCTTTGTGTACCGCTGCCTCCTCTGAATCTGCCGCTGCGCCTGTGAGAACAAAACGACCATTAGTCCATGTGTCCATTTGCTATTTTGTCCATTAGTGCATTAGCCATGTGTCCATTAATACATTAGTCCATGGGTCCATTTGCCTTTTGGACATTAAACTACACTAGTTTTAGTTCGTTATAACCGTAGTTCGCTATACATAAGTACATGTGTCCATTTGCTCTTTTGTCCATTAGTGCGTTAGTCATGTGTCCATTAATACATTAGTCCATGTGTCCATTTGCTCTTTTGTCCATTAGTGCTTTAGCCATGTGTCCATTAATACATTAGTCCATGCGTCCATTTGTCCATTAGTGCATTAGTCATGTGTCCATTAATACATTAGTCCATGCGTCCATTTGTCCATTAGTGCATTAGCCATGTGTCCATTAATACATAAGTCCATGTGTCCATTAATACATTAGTCCATGCGTCCATTTGTCCATTAGTGCATTAGCCATGTGTCCATTAATACATAAGTCCATGTGTCCATTAATACATTAGTCCATGCGTCCATTTGTCCATTAGTGCATTAGTCATGTGTCCATTAATACATTAGTCCATGCGTCCATTTGTCCATTAGTGCATTAGCCATGTGTCCATTAATACATAAGTCCATGTGTCCATTAATACATTAGTCCATGTGTCCATTTGTCCATTAGTGCATTAGCCATGTGTCCATTAATACATTAGTCCATGCGTCCAATTGTCCATTAGTGCATTAGCCATGTGTCCATTAATACATTAGTCCATGCGTCCATTTGTCCATTAGTGCATTAGTCATGTGTCCATTAATACATTAGTCCATGCGTCCATTTGTCCATTAGTGCATTAGCCATGTGTCCATTAATACATAAGTCCATGTGTCCATTAATACATAAGTCCATGCGTCCATTTGTCCATTAGTGCATTAGTCATGTGTCCATTAATACATTAGTCCATGCGTCCATTTGTCCATTAGTGCATTAGTCATGTGTCAATTAATACATTAGTCCATGCGTTCATTTGTCCATTAGTGCATTAGCCATGTGTCCATTAATACATTAGTCCATGCGTCCATTTGTCCATTAGTGCATTAGCCATGTGTCCATTAATACATTAGTCCATGCGTCCATTTGTCCATTAGTGCATTAGTCATGTGTCCATTAATACATTAGTCCATACGTCCATTTGTCCATTAGTGCATTAGCCATGTGTCCATTAATACATAAGTCCATGTGTCCATTAATACATTAGTCCATGCGTCCATTTGTCCATTAGTGCATTAGCCATGTGTCCATTAATACATAAGTCCATGTGTCCATTAATACATTAGTCCATGCGTCCATTTGTCCATTAGTGCATTAGCCATGTGTCCATTAATACATTAGTCCATGCGTCCATTTGTCCATTAGTGCATTAGCCATGTGTCCATTAATACATAAGTCCATGTGTCCATTAATACATTAGTCCATGCGTCCATTTGTCCATTAGTGCATTAGTCATGTGTCCATTAATACATAAGTCCATGTGTCCATTAATACATTAGTCCATGCGTCCATTTGTCCATTAGTGCATTAGCCATGTGTCCATTAATACATAAGTCCATGTGTCCATTAATACATTAGTACATGCGTCCATTTGTCCATTAGTGCATTAGCCATGTGTCCATTAATACATAAGTCCATGTGTCCATTAATACATTAGTCCATGCGTCCATTTGTCCATTAGTGCATTAGTCATGTGTCCATTAATACATTAGTCCATGCGTCCATTTGTCCATTAGTGCATTAGCCATGTGTCCATTAATACATAAGTCCATGTGTCCATTAATACATAAGTCCATGCGTCCATTTGTCCATTAGTGCATTAGCCATGTGTCCATTAATACATTAGTCCATGCGTCCATTTGTCCATTAGTGCATTAGTCATGTGTCCATTAATACATTAGTCCATGTGTCCATTTGTCCATTAGTGCATTAGCCATGTGTCCATTAATACATTAGTCCATGTGTCCATTAATACATTAGTCCATGTGTCCATTTGTCCATTAGTGCATTAGTCATGTGTCCATTAATACATTAGTCCATGCGTCCATTTGTCCATTAGTGCATTAGCCATGTGTCCATTAATACATAAGTCCATGTGTCCATTAATACATAAGTCCATGCGTCCATTTGTCCATTAGTGCATTAGCCATGTGTCCATTAATACATAAGTCCATGTGTCCATTAATACATAAGTCCATGCGTCCATTTGTCCATTAGTGCATTAGTCATGTGTCCATTAATACATTAGTCCATGCGTCCATTTGTCCATTAGTGCATTAGCCATGTGTCCATTAATACATAAGTCCATGTGTCCATTAGTACATAAGTCCATGCGTCCATTTGTCCATTAGTGCATTAGCCATGTGTCCATTAATACATTAGTCCATGCGTCCATTTGTCCATTAGTGCATTAGCCATGTGTCCATTAATACATAAGTCCATGTGTCCATTAATACATAAGTCCATGTGTCCATTTGTCCATTAGTGCATTAGTCATGTGTCCATTAATACATAAGTCCATGTGTCCATTTGTACTTTTGTCCATTAGTTCATTTCAGAAGTGGTGCGTTATTGGGTATTTAGATTGAACAACTTGTGAACGCACAATATTCAGGCCCCTGTCACAAATTATTCACAACACATAATTATGTAAAGCTGTGTCTCAGGCAAAACCTAAAATTTGCATCTCTGCCAAATGAAAACTGTCAATAAAAGGATCAGATGAAGCGCCACCCCACATGTAGGTCACATGCTCTGTCTGTGTGTCTGTCTGTTTGTGTGTATGTTTGTATGTGTGAGTGTGTGTTTGTGTGTGTATGTTTGTATGCATGTGTATGTGTGTATGTATATATGTGTATGTGTAAATGTATGTGCAGTGTTTATTTTGCTTCCAGAAAAGATTCCACCAAAGGCTGATCATTTCTTACAAGATTGGATCTGCATGTCTATCAAACACAAGTATTGCTTTACCAAGAAGAGAGCGTGCTCACCTACATACATTTACATCCGTACTTTCGCGCATATATATAGGATAACAAAACAAAACATACATTCCTCATATCTATTTCAAATTTATGGCTAATGGGCTACAAGTCAAGTAATAAACTGGGAAGGTAGTCTACAATTTTCGAACCTATGAATGTGACGGCACATTAGGTTGAGATTAAAAGGTACAAAGAACGCGGGCTGGTGTTTTGGCCTGTTCTAAAAAAACGGGTAATAAAAACTTCATTTACATTTGAATGTAAGGGCTTATCAAGTTCAGCACAATGGTATCATGGGGGAGGGGTGTGTGTGCCATACATTAACCGTGGCTGCCTGACAGCGGACGATGAATCAGCCAATCAGAGCAGTGCAAGAGATATATCCATGTTCCTCACCCCTGACGCCCGTGGGGGAAGCTACGTCTCAGATTGGCCACTTTGACGTGAAACACACTGTGTTGGCTCCCTCGTACCTGTGATAGTTGAACACTTAACGGGCGGACACATTGGGATGGCGATGGTCATAGTGATAAACTGCGGTGTTAGTAAGCAAAGAGATTTTTTATATCGATTGTTTAATTTTTTTAAATGTACAATTATGGAAATGAAGGTATCATTTGTAAGAAACAATATTATGTTTCATGAATGAGTTAGTGAGCATGGTTTTACGCCGCTTTTGGCAATTTTCCAGCAATATCACGTTGGGGGACACCAGAAATAGGCTTCACACATTGGAGAATGGGGAATCGAATCCGGGCCTTCGGCGCTACGAGCGAACGCTTTACCACTAGGCTACCCGTCTCCGCGTTCCATGAATGACTAACAGGTCTTCAGCAACCCATGCTTGTCGTAGGAGGCGACTAACGGGATCGGGTGGTCAGGCTCGCTGACTTGGTTGATGCATGTCATTGTATCCCAAATGAGTGGATCGATACTCATGATGTCAATCACTAGATTGTCTGGTCCAGACTCGATTAATTACGGACGTCCGTCATACAGCTGGAATATTGCTGAGTGCGGCGTCAAACAACAAAGGAAACGAAACGAAAACGGCTATCATGACATATCATTATATATCAATATGAACATAAGATATATAAGTATGTTATCGATGTAGTGGGTTCGGCCAATTGGAGGTGAGATAAAATATACAAAACATAATTCTCTACATAGATTGGTTCTATTAAATAGGACAGTACGCCTTTGCAAGCTGGTTTGACTCGTACAGTAACAACTATAGCAATGTTTTCTGATACGCGCTGGACCTATCATTATACATAATTTTGATAGAATCATGCAACTACATTTAAACTGAAAAGGAGCCCTAGGGAGTTTCAGACCTGTGGAAAATCTAGACTTGATTCACCTGAGAAATAGCATCAGAGTAATGGTTGGGTGGAATGGAAAATAATGATTCAGGAACTGTGAGACAGTCTAAGTCGTCCGCTCCTCCTCAGGATATTAGCGTTGTAAAATTCCAGAAAGATAAGAAATCGGTTTTAAAGAAGATGCTTCTTCTGGATCCACGTAACAACCAGACACAAAGCAGACGTGACCGTAACACTCTCCTGTCACGGAATACGCCATTAATAGACGCAGAGATAACGGAATGTTCCGAATGATTTCCGCTGAAGGCCAGGATGTCATGCAGGGCGATTATCTACGACTCCAGCTGGTAGAAGGTTATTTTAAGCTTTACCGTAAATAGATTTCAAGGATGACAGAACGGTTCAGCAAAAACATTGCTACATGTAACTTAGTTTCCAGGAGGAATCTCTCAGTAATCTCGTTACATCATCGGGTGCCTTTGAAAAGGTGCGAGGATGCACAGATGTCGAGAATGTTCGTGTTATGAACCTTGATAAGATTGATATCAAGTATCATATAGAAAGACGATATCGTTATGCTGAACTATAATTCATAATGAGACTAACATATTATCTCCTAATACATCACAGAAAGGAGCCAAGAAAATCTCCACATTTCC